CACCCAGCCAGCTTTCATGCCCAGGGCAGGACTAGAACTCACCATCTCCTGGTGACTGGACCTAAGTCAGCCGGCCAGCTTTCATGGGTAGGGCAGGACTAGAACTCACTATCTCCTGGTGACTGGACCAAAGTCACCCAGCCAGCTTTCATGCTTAAAGCAGGACTAGAACTCACCATCTCCTGGTGATTGGTCCAAAGTCATCCAGCCAGCTTTAATGCCTAGGGCAGGACTAGAACTCACCATCTCCTGGCGACTGGACCAAAGTCACCCAGCCAGCTTTCACTCATCATTTAATGGTTCCTAGGCTGGCACCTTAAACCGCTACACCAAACTGGCTCTCATAGATGCAGGCATTGCAGATGCAACACTTGTGAAGTCCACAGCTGCTTTTTTTTAAAAAAAACAACTTACCTTTTGAGTCTTTTCTCTTCCAGTTTGGTCTGCCTTTCCTGGGGAGTGATACCTCCAAGCTGCTTGAAGTTGCTGAGGGCCATTTCTAGGAGACCTTGCAACTCTTCCACTTTTCGGTAGGCTCTTTCTGCAAGAGAGGGGGTTGGTTTTTTGTTTTGTTTTTTTTTAAATCTCAGAGCATTTTTATGAACCTGCTTCAAAGCAGAGCCCAAAAGAAGCAAGGAGTAACAAATCCCAACCATTTAAGCAAAAGTCTCAGAAAAGGAATGAGAACCCCTGCATTCCATGAAGCCTCACAAAGGCTGATTCAGATGAGCATGAGGTTCAAACTGAACCATGGGTTCTTTTAGGACATCGTACAGGCAGTCCTCAACTTACAACCGCAATGGAGCCCAAAGCCTATGTTGCTAAGTGAGAAATTTGCTAAGTGGATTTGTTAAGTGGATCACCGCAGTTCTTAAATTAGTAATATGACTGTTAAATGAATCTGGCTTCCCCATTGGCTTTGCTTGTCAAAAGGTTAAGAATAGAATAGAATAGAATAGAATAGAGTAGAGTAGAGTAGAGTAGAGTAGAGTAGAGTAGAGTAGAGTAGAGTAGAGTAGAGTAGAGTAGAGTAGAGTAGAGTAGAGTAGAGTAGAGTAGAAAGAATGGAATGGAATGGAGTAGAGTAGAGTAGAGCAGAACAGAACAGAACAGAAAATATGGAATGGAATAGAATAGAATATAGAATGGAATATAGAATATAGAATATAGAATATAGAATATAGAATATAGAATATAGAATATAGAATATAGAATATAGAATATAGAATATAGAATAGAGTAGAGTAGAGTAGAAGAGAGAATGGAATGGAATAGAGTAGAGTAGAGTAGAGTAGAGTAGAGTAGAGTAGAGTAGAGTAGAGTAGAGTAGAAGAGAGAATGGAATGGAGTAGAGTAGAGTAGAGCAGAACAGAACAGAACAGAAAATATGGAATGGAATAGAATAGAATATAGAATGGAATATAGAATATAGAATATAGAATATAGAATATAGAATATAGAATAGAGTAGAGTAGAGTAGAAGAGAGAATGGAATGGAATAGAATAGAATAGAATAGAATAGAATAGAATAGAATAGAGTAGAGCAGAGCAGAGCAGAGCAGAGCAGAGCAGAGCAGAACAGAAAATATGGAATGGAATAGAATATAAATATAGAATGGAATATAGAATATAGACTAGACTAGACTAGACTAGACTAGACTAGACTAGAATAGAATAGAATAGAATAGAATAGAATAGAATAGAACTGGAAGGGACCTTGCAGGTCTTCTAGTCCAGCCCCCTGCTCAAGGTCGCAAAAGGGTATCACTGCAACTGTCATAAATGTGAGTCAGTTGTCAAGCATCTGAATGTAAATCATGTCACCATGGGGATGCTGCAAAGGTCGTAAGTGTAAAAAATGGTCATAAGTCCCTTTT